CAGTTGACAAGCGCTCCAAGATAAGAGCACCAAAACCAGATCCCGTTCCACCACCGAAGGAGTGGAAAACAAAGAAGCCTTGCAGACCATTGCAGTTGTCTGCAAGACGGCGAACCTTGTCCATAACAACGTCGATCTGTTCCTTGCCGATAGTGTAGTGACCACGGGCGTCTAAAGCACACTAAATATAGCTATATTTCAGAACGATACTGATGGACTCACAATTGCTGGCGGCATCTTCCTTGCCAGTAACGAGGGTCTCTGGGTGGAAGAGACTCCTGTAAGTGCCTGTTCTGACCTCATCGATCACGTTCGGCTCCAGGTCGATGTAAAGTGACCGCGGAACGTGCTTGCCCGAGGACGTCTCCGAGAAGAAAGTGCTGAAGCCATCGTCGTTGGCAGAAGGGGATCCTTCGACAAGACGACCATCAGGCTATAATGAATTTTTTGAGTGAAAGCACAGGGGGTCCCCAGGAAAAATAATCACGCTGAGACCGTGTTCAACGGTGTACAGTTCCCCTGTAAAGATACATAATTAACAATCAGAACTTCATAGAGTCAAATCAAAAGCGAATTGCATGCGTCTGGCACGCGGCGAATGTTAAAATAAGAATAACAAAGGCGATTGCACATGTCAAAAGTGGCGGAACACTTACAACAGGCATTTCCGATTTGAACACCGGCTTGGCCGACGTGGACAGAGATGACTTCACGCATTATTTCTGGAAAATTTAGGCTACAAAGTAGGATGATTGTATATCAGCAATCATACGACACGGAAAGACGCGTCTAAAAAGCTTACTGGTTTAGACGGGAGGCGAGGATGGGGTGATGGTCCAGATCAAAGGGCGCAGGGTTAAAAGTGCAACAAACACATGGCGCTTACTTAAGCCAATCGTTCTCACGCCTCACCATCAGTACGTCAATAGACGGTTCTCTATGGGAGTTTGGCGAACATGTGTTGTCCCTCTATGTAGTTTCGATAAGTCTTTACAAACCAGTACAAACGTCCGCTGTTAATAATTACTCAACACGATCATCAAACCTTGCACTCTTCTCAACTGCCTACTGCGGCTAAGTTCACATTACTTACTAGCAGCCTTATCGCCAGTCTCCATAAGTGCATCTCCTACGCGGCGCGTGTTTTCCGCAGCTTTCACGGCAACCTTACGCCCAGAGCGACTGGAGTTACATTAGTATACTAACATGGGCAAATTTGAACGTCAACTTACCTCACAATGGACTGCCATATTCGCATACCGTGAATATATCCCATTCCAGTTCGCACCTGCTGCTCTGAAACCGACTGTCTAGGATGTCGGAATGGGGCATCATTGGGATCAAAAGCAGCGAGAACAACGTCCACTGTTTTCACTCTCGGAATAGTCTTGTGGGTTGTTGGCGCTGTGTGATAAATGCTCTTCTTAAGCAGAGCAAGCGCTTCTCGCTATAGCTGCTCGGTAAACACCTAGAATTTTAATAACCAAGCTCACTCACTGTGTCTCGTCTTGCAGCAATCGCTGTAGGTGGTGGCTCTTCATCCACTAGGTCTAACGGCCCCCATCTTCTATCCTCTTGAATAGCCCCATACACAGCATTCGATCTCCCGACTATTGGCATCTCAACAAGATCATCGCTCTCTCCCACCAGCGAGAGGCCTCGTTGCCTTGCTTTCTTAATAATCGACTTGGACTTCGCTTCAATTGTTTTCCTGTTCTTCATTACCTTGGTTGCGCAATACTTGAAACGCCTGTCCCACTCCTCTTGGCCTTCCAGCCACTTGAAAAGAGTCTCTTCCTTGATGATGCCAATCTCTGATGGCCTCAGTTGTAGAGCTGTAATATCCTCTTTCGGTTCCATGAAGCGAACTCGACCGTGGATGTCTACACGTTCACGAATCATCAATATGTCTCCCTGTTAAAGGTGAGCATTTCAGTGACAGAAGAGCCGCCAAGTGAATTCTCACCGATCGGTCATTCATGGCGCACGATGGTACATCAGACCCGGGTATCGGCTGCAGAACGGGAAACGGATTTCGGTCGAGGTACTCTGCCGAACGTTGGGTGACATGTTTCGCAAATTCCGCAATAGAATTGTAAGCATAGTCAGCCTATTCGATTCGTCAGCAACTGAAACATAAGATCATAACTATCTCACACTGCTGGTGAAGGTGAAGACTGTCAAAACATGACACATTCCTGGAGCATCTGTTTTAACAGACGGTCTCGAACGAAAAGAAGTAGTGTACCATCATACACTTGCAGATGGACTTTGGTGGGCGTACAAAATTTATGCGCATTCTCTTTCTGCCTCAATCCGTCTCTAATTACACCCTCCCGTACAGGGTACTCAGCTGGATTGGCTGCCTTGTGCGCCAGATATATTATTTCGTCGCGAAGCACTTCTCCATCGCCTGCCAAAATATACAACGGGCAGAGGTTGCCTAAGGAGGCTTGAAGAATAGGTGAGACTAGAGGATGCGACAATTGCCTTCGCGGACATTAACCGTTAATGAATGTAAGAATGGAATGGAGGTGTCTCACTCTGTCATAGCATAGTGCTGTATCTGCGACCGTATTTCCAGTGGAACATCTCCAGGATTTTTCATGAGCACCTTCGGGGGGTTGGGCTGCCAAAAATCAATGTCATCTAGATTAGGAATTGACACCGAACCCCTGTTCACAGCAAGCTCATCCATAGGTATCGTATTACTTCCGTTTCCGTTTTGGTCCCGGCTTCGCCCGTGCCCTCTGCCAGTGAGATCACACTTCCCTCCGTCGAAAAATGATGATTTCTTCTGGGATTTCAGGGGAATGCTTAATGCAGAATTGCTTGATAATTGGTGCTTGGAACCAACAGGCGTAGAATCAGATTTCTTCCCAGCGTCAGTGGGCAGAACCTGCGCAGTGTGTCTTGTAACATGTTTATCGGAACCAGGAATATCCGCACGACATGGCTTCAGCAGTGGATCGGAGTGTGCACGGGCAACGCGACCGCCTCCCTCAATTGGATCCACCGGCCACAATACAGAGGGTTTGTTCATGAATCCATGAGGAGGTATGATGTCCTACTAGCCGAATCAGAAAGGAATATCCTGCATCGTGCTCAAAACTCACCGTAGCCGTGTTTGTACGAATACTAGGAAAACTGTGTGTTAGATCTACCCACGGGCTGATGAGCACCGCTCCCGCTGGTAACGGTTGACCCAAATCTCGCAGTACAGTGAGCATTGTGAGACACAGTGCGCCACCTGCCGAATCGCCGGCGAAGACGATTTTTGAAGGAGGAATGGGTTTATGGGCAGCATCATGAGGTGGCTGAATCAAGTAGAGATCTTCGTGTGGGGAAAATTGGTCCTCGCGATTTCAATTTCAAAGATAAATAGTGATGAACTCACATGCTGCGAGAACATCATGTAGGGGGCATGGCCATGGGTATTGTGGTGCCTTCCTAGACAGAAAAGACTATATATAACATGATCACAGTGAAAAATGTTGACACTTGCCGATAGTTGACGGTAAATGCACGCCCCCGAATTTTATGCGCTTTGCAAAGAATAAGTAAAGATGCCAGGAACTTGCGTGAACATACCGTATTTGATGATTTGATAACGATGGGTATCTACAAAGCAGGGTAAGTCTGAAGGTGTGTACAAGTTGGATTGATGTTCACTGATGGACCCCCAATAGTATCCGCCTCCATGAATGTAAAGCTTCAGTTAAGGTGGTCAGAGAATGTGTCAAACAAAACCAGATAACTCACCATCGTGGTCTCTAATTGCTCCATCGACATCAGAAGTCTTTCCTCTTCACTGTACCTCCTCCCAGCATCTATGTGAACACTCTCGGGTCGCAAGTGCGACTTCTCAGCAATCCACTCAGCATCAATACCGTCTAAACCACGGACTTGCCACCATCTTTCACCTCCAACAACACGTTTAAGGTCTTCGGGCCCAAACCATTGTATCAAGAGGTCTGCCGCCTGGTTGCATGAATGCAACGGGACACGCACAGGGATAACAGCAGTCCAAGGTGGAGCAGGCACATGAGTATTTGTACTGATCACAGAAGATCATACTTAATGGAGAACCTGGTGGATATAAATTGCATCTCACAATGCTTGGAGAGATTCCACAGTGTTCTTTGTTCCAAGAAGAATGAAGGATTTAACGATGTGAAATGCTCTAGAAAACATCAATGAGTAGGAATGTTGACTGTAATGAAGCGCACTCGTCAAAGAAAATGTCATCAGTAGCCTCTTCTTTCTCATCTCCATTCTTCAGCTTTTTCGCTTTCCGTTTTCCATGAGTGTAGAGGGTCTTGATGACGGCTAAAGATGCATAAATGACTGCACGGACAGAGAAGACGGTCCGCCGTACTTGGCGTAATATGCACTGCCGCTGAGAATGTAGAGACAGTCATTTTTGTTCAAAGAACAAACCAGTGTGTACGTGGTAGACGTGAGAGAAAGTGCCAGTAGCCGTACCACACACGTCAGAGACGACCAATCTGAAATTTCGAATGACGTCAGGGATATAAACCAAGCCTGAGGCCTGAGCTGGAATGAGTGAAAATGAGCTTTCAGAGCTTTTGCGGCAACTTGTAATTGCTAAGTGGAACGTGGAGGTTGACGGAGCAGTCTCGACAGGTCTCGACACTGCTGCGCTGGATAATGTCCGTGGGATACATAGCCAGGCATAGCACCTGTAAAACACGATATACAACCTACTTACGACCTGCCGAATAATGCCAGTAACACTCATCCAAGAGACATAAAATAATCGTCTGGTTGCGCTCACAGTTGACTCCCAGTCAGTCATAGTAAGTAGTGCGCGCACTGGCAATGAATGTTTGGACGTTGTTGAGCAAAGCCTTTAGAAACAAACAAACGCTCATAGAACTTCCTTTTTGGTCGACCGCTTCTCTAAGCATCACCACTTATTGTCATCCTTTTTGCAAGAGTTTGGCGGTTTAAAAGTCTGTCGTTGACCTGGAATTCAAATGATTACATTCACACCTCTTTCTGGTGCCGCCCGGTCATCCCGAACTGTTCCACTTGCATACTTGCTACAGGTTGACGATATTCGTATTCTTCTCGATTGTGGATCACCTGACTGGAACCCCGAGAATATTGAAACTCAATCTGAGTCCGGGAATGGGGTGATTTATCCTTGGCAAGAGTACTGTGACATAGTGAGAAAGTGAGTGGCAACTAAAATGCAAGCTGCACGATTTAAACATTAGTTAGGCATGCTCCAGAGGTTGACTTGGTTCTGCTGTCTCATGGGGACCTTGTACATTCTGGCTTGTATGCTTATGCATACTGTCACTGGGATCTCAGAGCCCCATGCTATACCACACTTCCAGTCCAGGCAATGGCTCGCATTGCAACAATGGAAGATGTGGAAGGAATTCGAGACGAACAAGAAGTTGAAGTTGAGGAGGAGGAAAGCAACGAATCTGCGGCTCCCGAAGGGGCGGGAAGCTCTGAGCCACATTCGCCAAAGCTAAAGAATGAACCCAAGAAGTTTGTCGCTACCGTTCAAGAGGTACACGAAGCATTCGACGCAGTAAACACTCTAAGGTATTCCCAGCCTACCCATCTACAAGGTAACTTTTAGCCATGAAGCAATCATTGGCGGAACATTGATATTCCCGACTTCCAGGAAAGTGTCAAGGTTTGACCATTACACCATTCGCAGCGGGGCACACGTTGGGGGGAACCATATGGAAAATAAGATCGCCTTCCGCTGGAACGATCGTCTATGCTGTGAACTTGAATCATATGCGCGAGCGACATATAGATGGCACTGTCCTCTACCGTCCTGCAGCAGGTGGTGTCTTCGAACCACTTGCCCGACCAGATCTCTTCATCACAGACGCCGATCGCGTGAATGTCGTCACAAGTCGAAGAAAGGACCGCGACGCTGCTTTGATAGGTCTGAAAGTTCATCTCGCTCGAATACGTTCGTGCTGATGTCATTAATGGACAGATGCCATAAGTGCAACGCTGTCGTCCCGTTCTTCTCTTTTACTTCCTTGTGACTCCAGTACTCGTCTCCTGGAGCTCCTGGTGTTACTTGATCAGCATTGGAAGTATGCTGATTTTCGCTTTCCCATCTGTCTATTATCGCGTAACGGGCGTGAAATGTTGACCTTCGTCCGGAGTATGATGGAATGGCTTGGCGGGACAGTGAGCAAAGAAGATGTCGGTGTTGATGGAAGCGGAAGAACGGGAGGTACCAGGAGGAGACGTGGTGATGACGATGCAGATGATGAGGCGTTGGGAGCGTTTGCATTGCGCTTCAAGTAAGTGAAATCTGAAAGCAGAAGGTGATGGACTAAAACCATTCGTACAGGTTTCTGGAATTCTTTCCCAGTCCGCAATCCCTTCTCCAGACATACTCATCCAAGGAGCCGAAACTGATCCTTGCTGTCCCTGCCTCGCTTTCACATGGACCGTCACGACTACTATTCTCTGACTTCGCCGTGGTCCCAGATAATGTGGTTCTCCTGACTAGTCGCGGCGAAGAGGGCACACTGGGACGTATCCTTTTCGATAAATGGAATAACTCTCAGAGAGGTGATGATAAGTGGGACAAAGGTAGAATTGGTAGCAACGTTATGATGGATGGAGCCATGACTCTAAAGGTGATTTGCACGGTTTGTACCTACATGGCACGTTACTTATTCATCTGCGTCTAGATAAACTCCAAGGTTCCGCTTCAAGGTGCAGAGCTAGAAGCCTTCCTTGCAAAGGAGAAGGCAGCAAAGGATAGGGAAGCTGCTCATCAAGCATCTATGGCTCGTAATCAACGCATATTGGAAGCGGACGAAGACGAGAGCGACGAAGATTCGGATTCGGATTCGGATGAAGAAGACGAAGTCGAACGCGCATTGGACGAAAGCCAAATGGATACCGACGAAATCTCCAATACTGGAAATGGTTCGCCGCGAAAACGAAAAATTACCAAAAATGAGGACGATGCTGACTGGGGGCTTGACATTGACGAGGGATTGACGAAACAGCTACTCTCCTTCGACATTTACCTCAAGGGAAACGTCTCCAAGGCAACATCATTCTTCAAGAGCGCTGGTGGCCAGACCCACCGTTTCCGTATGTTTCCCTACGTTGAAAAGAAACGGAGGGTGGATGAATATGGCGAAACTATTGATGTTGGCATGTGGCTGAGGAAAGGTAAAGTATTGGAAAATGAAGCAGAAGATGATGCGACTAGGGAGGCAAGGCGAAATCAGGCTGAAGGCGAAACTGAGGTAAAGTTTTTAGGTGTAATAAATGATCATTTAACTGACGAGCCTAATGCAAGGCTCCTCGTGAACCTCCTTCGAAGTTCGTCACTTCAGAGGTTGAAATACAGCTTGCTTGTCGACTTCTCTTTGTTGACATGGAAGGTCTCAACGATGGTCGTGCGGTGAAGATGATTGTACCCCAAGTGAACCCCAGAAAGATGGTAAATAATTACGTCGATCTGACATTTCATATGCTAACGATACTCGTGGTAGATCATTGTCCATGCCCAGGCTGCCGCCGCCGATGCTCTCATTGACAGTTGTGCGAACATTCGATCTATGACGAGAGATATATACGCTCCTTCTGTCGGAGAAACGGTGCAGATAGGACAACACACCAACAGTTTCTCGATATCCTTGAGTGATGAGCTACTGAGCACTATCAAAATGTCAAGGGTAAGTTTATTTCTCAGACTTCGAGCCCATTTGAATCAACGTTTGGTAGTTTGAAGACAACGAAGTGGGTTATGTGACCGGACGCGTTACGAGCCATTTCAGCTCCACCATACCCATTTTAGAACCCTCGGGACCAACGATACCAACGCCAAATGCAAACGTATTGCATGCCCCACGAATACTAGGCTCCCGGCCAATTCAGATTCTACCGCGGTCGACAATGATAGGGGAGCTCAAGTTGACTGCACTTAAAAGCCGATTGGCATCAGTCGGTGTTCAAGCCGAATTGGTTGGTGAGGGTGTGCTGATTTGCGGCGCTGGGGCGAGGCGGGATGAATCTTCTAATTCTATACAAGACACAGTTGCCGTACGCAAGACAGGTCGAGGAAGAGTGGAGTTGGAAGGTAACGTTTCCGACATCTACTATGTCGTACGCAAAGAGATTTATAATCTCCATGCCTTGGTAGCAACATGATGTATCGTCCCCCGAGCTGGAATGAACCTATCTATTTAATTGCAGCATTATATTAAGCGCGCACAGCGAGTCTACAATCCAAGTATTAGTTGCACATGCTATTCCAAATCCGACTGCTATGTAGCTCTAATGATGAAATTGGCCCTGTCGTATTGTACCTAGTCATATATAAAGACTGTTCATATTCCCTTTCCAGCATCTTCTTTCAAACTCGCAATGCGGTTGAGTACCAAATAATCGCCTTGCCTAATTCCAGGAGTAACATCTGAGGGTTCGTCTAGAGCACCCAAGCGAGATTCTGAATCTACTGCAAGGTACGCGACACGCAGACCTTGGAATCGTACACACTCCTTTCCGGCAAGCTGCTCTGGCGTGATTTCCGGAGTGTGTGCGTCATGGGAGCCCGCACCCGGGGTTGCCTTGATTTTAGCTGATCTCGCCCGAGCCTCCTCGAGGGCGTCTGCGACACACCGCTTTGCAAGCGGCCAGAAACTGACTTCCACCATGGCACCCTTGATGACTTCCATGCTATTAGGGTTGATATCAGCCTTGAAGTCAGGGGTAGCCGCTAGGGGGTTATCACTCTTGAATAAAGGGTGAAATATTCTTGTCTCGTCGATGCGAACAGGGCTTCCAGAAGATGCATGTTCTGCGACCCACTGGATATATGCCTTGGGTTTCGGAGGAGTACCAGAATCTTCGAGACGACAGAATACCTCTGTCACCTCACCAGAGGCTGAATCAGTCTTGTACGATGTACATGTAATTGGGTAAGGTGCTTGGAATAGACCGACACTCTTTCCAGGAGCAAGGCGGAAGTAATCTTTTGAGTCCTCCAGCCTGAAGTCGTCTGCGTCGATGTAAATCGTGCGGGTGAATGGGATTTGTGAAGATCCGAGCTGGGGATTCTTGGGATGGAATGGTTTGTCCACCATTACGAGGTAGTCGTCGGGCACGTTCTCGATTATGACTTTGAGAGGACGCATGACCATGAAGAGACGTGGTGCACTTCCTTCCAAGTATTGCCTCACAGTCTGTTCAAAGCGTGCAATTTGTATGTTTGAAGCAGCCGTTGAGACACCCAACGTGCTGACAAATGACAAAATCGCGCCCGGAGGCACGCCTCGCCTTCTGAGGGCAATGAGAGTGTAGAGACGAGGATCGTCCCATCCGCTAACGTAGCCTTCATCTACCAGCTGGAGAATCTTTCTTTTCGAACTGATCGTCCCTTGAAGACTAAGACGACCAAATTCGGATTGCCTTGGTTTGTACACGTCCAGGGCGTCACAGAGCCATTCATATGACTGGCGTGAAGCAATGAATTCTGTGGTACAGAGGGAATGACTGAAATCCGTAGGTCAATCAACAGCAAACGAGAAATGGGTGCCACGATGCTCACGAGATGTTCTCGAAGCTGTCCACGAGGCAGTGTGTATAATCGTAGGTGGGGTATACCTTCCATTTATCCAAGGTGCGATGGTGGCTTGCATCCAAAACACGGTACGCCGTGAGGTCCCACATCTGAGGGTTGCCATCTGTTAGATCCATCTTCATCCGAAGATTGGCTTCCTTGGGTCGATAATAACCATCAGTCATCTTTTTAAACTCATCCAGTGATTCTTGAATTGGCCGTGATCTATGCACGCAGGCTTTAGGAGCTGATATTTTCTCGCCCCTGTCAGCTTTGATTTGCTCCTCTGTAAAGCAGTTCACATTCAACGGATAATCGTCCTGAGCGGAAAGATGATACACTCACGAGTACAATGGCAGACATAAGCTTTGTCGCGCTTTATGAGCTCGATAGCAAGATCGTATAGCTGATCGAAGTAGTCACTAGAGTAGGTTATCTTCCAGGGTTCGAATCCCAGCCATCGGATAACCTCAATAATGCTCTGGAAATATCTGGCCTCTTCTTTTTCCGGGTTGGTATCATCGAAGCGCAAGTAACACTTCCCTCCATGGTGTGCAGCATAACCGAAGTTCACGAAGATAGCCTTAGAATGACCAATGTGTAGATAACCGTTTGGTTCCGGTGGGAAACGTGTCCAGACTTGGCCATCAGTTACGCGCAGGTGCTGCTCACGAAGTTCGGGCCTGATCTGAGGGTTCTCTCCTGGCTTGTGCAAAGCGCCCAAGAATCCCTCTTCAAAAACAGGTTTTCTATTGGATGAACTAGAGCCAACAGCAGCCTCCGATGCAGTTGCTGTTGGCTGCGCAGCCTTCTCTTTCTTGGGATCCTGTACCTTGTAATCAGGAACAGTAAACGAGGGTGGCAAGGAATGTAGTATACCTTAGCTTTCGGCTTCGCAGCCTCCTTGGCACCAAAGGTTTCAGTAAACGCCTTCTCGACGGCGTTCTTAACTTCCAGAGGGTTCGCCCATCGAAGAGCTGGGCTGGCCTTGACTCCACTAATAACGGAACCAAGGTTAGGCCAGCCAGTAACGGAATTCTCGCGAATGTAACTCGTGACTGCGTCATGGAGCTCTTCAGAAGTAATGCTGAAGCCTGTAACATTCGATCGGCACCGCGATCTTATATCATGATGACCGTATCTCACCGACACCACACTCTGTATCAAACTCAAGCTCGTTGATAGGCGCTTTAAATTTCTCGAGGTACTTGACAGCAGCTGCACATAGTAATAGGTCACTGGCAAACACAGACGTCGCATAATAGAACTCACCATTGACCTGATCAACGGATTTGAGCTTGCCCTGCAAGATTGCCCTGATGGCGAAGGCTTGTTCGTCAGGTTCTACAGATTCCGTCTTAGCTAGCTGACCAGCAAATGCGGTGATGACGGTGGCCTGCTTTTCATCGAGGCGAGCTTCGGCAAGATCATATGAAACAATCAGATTGCGAAGAACATTGGCGCTTTTGGCGTTCTTTGCCGCTTCTGCCGCTTTGGCCTGGGAGAGACCTATAGACTTGAAGAGGGGGATGGAAGTGTCTGATGCCGTAGGATCGGACTCGGACTTGGTAGGAGCCATTGGTGGGTGATGAGTACTTCAGTCCTAGGGTTCGGGGAATTAGGGTTCCTGCTCTAATTGAACAGATCAGTGACTCGAACATTTCGTAAATAGTTACATAATTTGCAATTTGATTATCTGTGGGCGCTAGCTAGGTAATTAACGTATCTGATTCAGTGGGCTACGAGCTCCCCGACCTCACCCACAAGCTGTCGTTGTGGTGAACCGTCTGGCTTTTTCCCAACTATACGAATTTCCATCTTCCTGGTCGCAATTTCGTTTACAAACTTGTCTACGTTACCATCTATGAATGCCTCTGATAATTCTACAATCCTGTCCATCACTATGCGAGCAGGTCTCCGAGACACAAGCGGAAGGAGAGAGAAATCCGAGAATGATTCATGCTGTGAGCGTACTACAACAAGCACAAGTCAGGATCAACACCTGCATGATTGATGTAAATCGAATGCGAATAAACTCACAGATGGTCAGTATTCTCCGTTTCTCAGGCTCCCAAGCTTGTACCACGCCGATCAATCGTGCAAAATGATCCTTCCATAGGCTGAATTTTTCAGAGTTAATGACAAGTAACTGAGGCAAAATATCTCCTGGTCCTTGAGGCGGGCGTGGGCCAGGAGAAGGGATCGGTTCTAGCCAAGGATCCAAGATCAAGGCTTTATGAACAGGAATGGGTGCGGAGACGCCAGCAGGAGGATCCATAGAAAGGATTGTGAACTGCACAACTGGTATAAGTCGCTGCACATTTTGTAAATATGCCTTACTTGCAACAGTAGCACCACCGAATGAATGTCCAGCAAGGAGGACATCTTTTTCGCATTCGACTGCCTTGGTATCGACGTCGCTTAACCACGAAGACCAGTCAATGAATTCCTTGTCTATGGGCCGTAAGCCATGGCTTGAACCTTTGTATCCATCTTGAATGAATTGTTTAAAACTATGGAATGTAAGGTATATCTCATATCGCCTAAAAGTCAGCTGTTGCTGTCGAAAATTAATCATTGTTTTTTCCTCATTCGAAGTCCAACTTGGGGGAAATCTCTCAGTTCTAACTCTCTCAAGGAAATAATAAAAATAAAAATGCATACATCAGGTCCTCTTCTTTGACGTAGAGTCCGGGTCCAGTAGTCGATGAAATGAATGCGTGACCCGAGCCATCACGGTGCTGGATGGCTAGAACCACTCGTCCCGAGGATGCAAGACGAGTGCACACTTGACTGCAACACAGTAATTATCTTAATTTCGCAATGCAGAAGATAGAGAAATACCTGTAAGCTGTTCGACTACCGCCCAGACCGTGTGAGAATATTACAAGAGGCCAACTTGAAAGACAAGTTTCAGATCTAGCCTGAGTATGCTCTGGAGATGCAGTGGGGCGCTGCCTCAAAAGAGGTGCATTTGGGTAGACTGGGATCTAATAGCGCGGCCTGGGTTAGCCATGGTATTTAGCTCTGTAGTACTAACATGCGCACTTTCAACAGGCGACCGTAGAGATACACGATAGGCCATAAAAACCAGGTGGAAATCCCTGTAAAGGCATTCGATCATATTCTCCTATACAATGTAAGCCATAAGACCTGCCTGAATAATGTGCATACCCATGTAGAGATGCTTGCAGCGGACTAGAAACGTGAGCTTGACTCGCTGGCAGCGTAACTCCGATACTGACCGAAGAAGCCAGTCCAGGCCTTTCTTAATATTTCTGCCCTTTATGTCCGCAGGATAATAGGCAGTGAATATGACTTCATCGAGTTGTAAAGCAGGTTTCACAGAAGGTCCGCCGTCACTGTGACTGTTTCCGCGTATCTTCGCAGTGCCCAGCACTTTCGTGGATACGGGAAGTTTGAAGGTAGTCGCCCCTACCGAAAAACGTCCACAGGAGTCCGGCAGAAAAAGCATGAGTAATACGCCCAGCGCTCAACTGTATATGTACTACTTCAAGCTTCATCGCTAAGAGCTTCCACGAATGCTTACGATGAAATTATGCTTCCCATTATGGTAACAAAGTTTTCC